GTGCAGAAAGAACATGAATTCTACTGACAGGGTAATAATAAGGCTCCTAAATCAGCCCTTGGACTTTTTGCTTTACATGTATTACTCAAACTACATGGCGGGGATTAATATACATTATAAACCAGGTGTGCCAGTTACATATTTCTCTCAGAACATCTCTCAGGTGCCTCCTAAAAATGCTATTGATGTTAAACACATATTCTCGCCACCAGCCTTAGCTCTTCATGGGGCCACACAGACAGCGGGGGAGCCAGAGAGGGGTCTGGAAAAAAGGGAGGCCTAGAGGAGTGGGAGGCTCAAAGGCTGATCTTCTCTTGTTCAAATCAGGATTTCACAACCACTTCTGTATCTTCCTGGTACACAGGCTGTGCTTTCCGCCTGGCATCCTCAGGACTTAGCCAGGACCTCGCACATAGTATGTGTTCAGAGAACATGCTGGAGGCTGCTGATTGCCTACCTGAGGTCTCGGCTCCCCTTGCTGACAGCGAGATCCAGATATTGTTCAGGGCTCTAATGGGCCAAGCTAAAAAATATTCCCCTTTGCATTTTCTTTGTGACTAGTAATGGCAATGGGAACCAGCTCTGGCCAGTGGAATGCAAGAAGAAATATCTTGGAATTTATGGGAAATTTTAAGATACTATATTTTTTCTCCCTATCTAGAATATAGTTGTGATGGTCAGAGTTGCAGCCATCCTGTAGCCAAGAGGCAATGAACATGAAAATGAAGGCTTACATGTTAAGATAGGAACATGAAAAGATGCAAAGAGCTTGTACTTAGGCCTGTTCTGCCTGTCTCCAGACATGTGGTTATATGAATAAATAAGATAAATAAGCTCCTCTTTCAAGGCAGCAGTTACGAGAGCCCATCGTATTACTGATGCATTTGGTTTGGGAGGCTCTGACATCCGCAGAGAAGCCATTTTTGGGCCATGCTGTTGGTCCTTGCCTTTCTTCTCTGAATAGTGCCTGTCACTATAATTTCGGCCATGCCTGCTCACCCGGGCACATTGGGTACACAGCTCCCCTTTCCCATTCCTGGCTGTCTCCCGCGGGCAATTGGTGTATGACACCTGCTCTCGGCAATCTCTCTAAGCTCCCTCAGTCATGATGATGATAATAATTGTGGTTATAAAGGTAAAAGTAGTTATTGATGGTTGCTATGAGCCAGGTAGCTTGGTGAGGGCTTTATGTACATTATCTTACTTTGTCCTCAAAACAGGAAGATCCCTTTGTTCTCCCTGCTGTACAAGTGAGACATCAAAACCTGAGATACAGTAACTCAACCAAAATGTCATAATTGAGCAGAGTATGCTGTTCATTTGGGATTTGAACACTAGCCTTGTGATCTCAAAGTGGGTGTCTTCTAACCAATAAAGTATACTGCCTTCCTATGAATTAAGAAAAAAAAACACAGCTGGAGGGGAGGGGAGGAGAGAGAGAGAGAGAGAGAGAGAGAGAGAGAGAGAGAGAGAGAGAGAGGACAAGAGAGGAGAGTGAGAGGAGAGAGAGGAGATATCTCCCAAGGGGCAACAAAGCCAGAGAACGAGGGATACTGTTGATATTCATAAAGTCATAAAGTCATGAGTCCTGTGCCAGTTTGGGAAAGTTAAACAGAATAGCTGACAACCAACAGTATGACCTCGGCCCTATCATTCAATTGCTCTGTACTGATTTGTCCACTTCATATTGAGGAGACGCTGATATTTTGCAGTTCTCTTCAGTCTTTACTGCTTCTTGAGTCTCCTGCAGTCTCCAGAGAGAGAGGAGAGA